AATTGGAACAAGTTTCTGTTGTTTTCATAGTTAACTTGATCTTATTTTTATTGAAACATTTATCAATAATTAAGATGTTCTATGATTGAGTTCTGGTTACTATCACCTAGTGGTAGCGGTTCAACCGCAGACGAACTGCTTGTCAACGATCTTTTTAACATACGGAGCACAACAGGTCGATCTGGGGTAAGTGCATACTGCAGGTGCACATGGTTGGTTTGATTTGAATGCTCCTCTGAAGTGATTGTATGATCTCAGCTATGATGGTGTTTAATAAAGACCTACGTGCACTGGCACCCCGATGGCCAACAGTAACGATATGACGCTATCACACCACACATTCCACACGTGTCATTACAAGTTGCACCTGCTTCTGTCTTCCATTCTGTCCATGCTCCCGGGCATTGTATGGGCTGAAAACTTGATTTTTGTAGACTGCCTTTAAAATGAAGCCAGAGCTTTTGTAAGCTGCTTTTAAAATGAAGCCAGTTTTATAAAACATAATTTACCGGGTTTGGCTGGCAAAACTCCGCGCCATCATAACCAACAGCGGGGTAACCGGTGCAACACGCTTGACCAGTAGTGCAGGCTGCTTGTCCACATTTTTTAGTTTCTGTAGTGGTTCCTCTGGAATGATTAATAAACGGATTATGCTAATTGATTAATCGTAAGGAAGAGGTAGAACTTACGTGCATGGACAGCCGTATGGTTGTGATGCACACGTACGATTACGTGTCTGTGTGCCGCAAAGGCCACAGTCGGAAGTACATTTTGACCATTCTGTCCATTGATTCCAAAGGCCCATCTTCTCTAAAATTGCGTCATCTCTTGTTTTAACAAAACCGAAAAACATACCGGGATCACAGCATGTAGTTTGTTCTGGGTTAAACACTGGCTCTGCTGGAAGTGGACCACAATAGAAAGACTTTGTGGCTGTATCAACTTTCTTAGTGAAACCAGGACAGCATGAAGATCTTGGAAATAGACATACGCTTGTTCCACAGACTTGGTTCTGCACTGCGTCTCCACTGAAATTGTGAGGCGCATGACAAAGAGAAACCCTGTTTATGTTTGCACTCACCTGCAGGCACATCCATATTGCAGGGA